AGTGCCATGCTGCAGTTGGACTATGGTGACACAGTCTGGCTGCGTTTACATGGAGATCCCAAATATGCCCTCTACAGCAATGCAGGCCCGTACACAACTTTCAATGGCTATCTCATTTATCCAGACACCTCTTCCTACTTCCAAAACAGTGTAACCTCTCAGGAGCTGGCAGGAGGTGCAGAGCCACTTCATCGTGCCATTCAGCAACTTCCAGGAGAGCAGAATGAAGCCTCAGAAGTACACATGCTGTCTGATGAACCAGCCAGAATACAAGACCCCCGCTCTGCATTTTCTGTTGCCCGCACACAAAGCCTTTTGGGGACAGATGAGAAACAGACCCAGCATGAGCCAATCACGTTTGACACAGAGTTTGTGAACATTGGGAGGGATTTCAATTCCTCAAGTGGCATCTTCTTGTGCCGTGTGCCTGGTGCATATTATTTTTCTTTCACCATTGGCAAAATGCCTTTTAAGACCATGTCAGTGAAACTGATGAAGAACCACAATGAAGTTCAGGCTATGATCTATGATGACAACCACTCCAAGAGGCGAGAGATGCAAAGCCAGAGCATCATGCTGCCTCTGCACTATGGAGACACCATCTGGCTATATAGCCACCAGCATGACGGCTATGGTGCCTACAGCAACCATGGCAAATACATCACTTTCACAGGTTTCCTGATCTATCCAGAGGTTCAGCCAAAGCTGCTTCCTAGTGCCAGTTCAGCCCAGGGGCCCAAAATCTAAATACAGGCATTCAAGGAGCATAAGTGAAACCGAGATACAGTGGACTTGGGTGTGGATCCTTGTTGGACATCATCCTGTACATGACAATGTTAACCAGCATGTTAATGTGTGTTTCCTTATGCTGCATGTTTGTGCCGTGGCTGCAGGGCCATTGCTTTCTGTTGTTCATCCATAGAATGATCTTTACAGAGTGTATGTGTGTGTTCAGTGTTGCTGTTTGATTTATGCATAAAGCATGAAGTAGTTTGGAGACAGGGGGAGGGAAGTGAAATGAAGTGCTATAAGTCAGGGAGCCACTGCAGGAATACTATAAAGATATCCCTGCTCAGAGGGAAAGGATCTGGTAACATTCATTGTATACTGGGGGTGCGGGGACAAATGTAATGGAAATGAACTTAATAAACATGCACAAGAAAAGATGCAGGATATACTGAGACAAGGATCTGTTGTTAAATTTGGGATTTGTGAGCATGTGGCTGCCTAAGGGACTGACTCAGATTGAGAGAGAGGTGCTGTGACTGTGTGATCTGTTTTATGGGTTGGAGTATCCAGGGCTCGAATTACACTTCAACTTCTGGGGCGGTCTACAAAAAAATTGGGCTGCCCATCACAATGCCCTAATAAAATCA